TCAGTATTTGCAGGTTAGTCTAAATTGCCTAGATTGAGCTGATAAGCAAGTAAACAGGCATTCACTTTTGATTCCAGAAATGCAGTCACATGCCTGCAGCAGCCCAGGCCAGAAGCCAGAGGGTACTAGTGCATGCCTCCCTGCTCAGCTGGAGCACACAGCATGGGCCAAGTTTAGCCTGCCCACCCTGAGGGGGAGGGTTTGAGGGGGAGGTCCAAGGCATCCTATATTGCTGGGTGACTGTGAGTTAACTTGAATCCAGAGGAGATCTGGGACAGAAATTCAATAAACCAGTTTAACCTAAAGCAGTTAAGTCTCATACTGCATCCATTCAGGTTTATCTTAAATTGATTTTGGCCATTTTGAAAGCAATTTATGTGCACTCAATTTCTGTTGTGTTACAGATTTGAACTGGTTTCTGATCACTTATACTGGTCTATGTGTAATTTCTGTCCCTAGCCGAGAAGTTCAGTGCACATAAACCACTCAGTTCAGTGCACATAAAGTTAACTCAAAGTCCTCCAGCATCCCAGGGTGCTTTGCATCTACCCCAAAAATCCCCCCTCAGGGTGGGTTGGCTAGCCTTGGCCAAACCTGTCTTCTACAGCTGAGCAGGAAGGCATGTGAAGATTGAATTGTACTTAGCCAGGATGACCAGAACTAAGCATCATATTCCAAGTATGGATAGACTATTGCTTTAAATTAAATTATATTGTTGTCCTCTGTCCTAGAGAATGATTCTTCAACAATAAAATGCAGTTCTTTTTTTCACAAGGAGTTTTTTTTAATTCACTATAACAGCACTGAGGATATATATTTCAAATGATTATTTTCTGAAGACATAACATTTTATTTGTCAGCTTTACCATGATCACCTACTATCATGGCACTCTTGCAGCATAAATTAAACTATTAAACTTCAAACTCTTGCCTAGATTTTCCCCATACTTCTCTTGCATCCATGGAAAAAAGAAGTTTAGCATAACACGAAGCTCATGTTCACTTGAAAAGTTTAGTACCTGCAGTTTTGGTAATAAAATTATGCTTGAAATCAGATCTTTCCTTGGTATGGGGGTTTGTGTACAAAAGACTTACCCAACTCTAGTGATAAGTCATTTCACCTCAGAACGTTAGTGAACTTATTGCACATTTTGTTTGAGAGAAATATTAGCATCTAGTGTTACTAAATGGTTTTGAGTGCCTCAGGTCATTCAGCATATAGCAAATCCTGCATAAGGATGCCCCTACGGATTATGCTGACTATTGTATTGCATTATTCATTGGTCTGCTTTAAGCAGGAATCTTGATATGCTAGGGGCAGGTAATTCAAGAGAAACCTTCATATTAATGTATTTAATAATTGTACCAGATTTATAATTGTTTGACTCATCCATATGAGAATAATCTGAGGCACTACAGGAAGGATAGGAAATGAATTTAGGAAGCAGTTCAAGTTAAGCAGACCTAATATCACCTTTGACCTTGTCAGAAATTGCACTGATATGAATACAATCAATTTAAAACAATATTGTTGTTGTTCTCAGTTTATTTGTTAATCGGAGTCTTTGCCCATTTAAAAATAAATATGTTTAACTGCTTCATATAAGACAACACATATTTTACCCAGACTATTAATACAATAGGCCATATATAACAGAGAAAAGAAAGAAATAATAATGATGAGTGGTCATTTTTTTACATTAGTTAAATGCTTTACCCTCATTGTATAGAGTTTCAAATGATATTATCAGCAGTATGGTCTAGAGACTAGATTACTGAGTGTGAGCTTGGCTTGGCTGAGTGGTATACTTGGTTTTCCTGCTGGCCTTCTTTGTGATCTCATATATGTCCTTCATGTCTCTTTGTCTCAGTATTCTGATCTGAAAAATGGAGATAGTGATTTTTTTCTTCTTTTGTAATGTGCTTGAGGGCAAGTGATGAAAATCATTATGTCAGAACTAGAAAGTACTGAGATTGTTCTGTATACACATACACACTATTTGGTTCTTTTCTTGGATGTTTGTTTTCCCGTTTTCGGGTTTATGCTTTGGGAGAAGCAATCAATTTTCACCCATAGGAAATGTATGTGTGTGTGTAATATGAGAGAGTCTTAGTGCACAAGTGAACATTCAGAACCCAATGGCAAATGCATCTTGATACTTCTTCTGACACATGAGGAGTTATATTTGGAAACACACAATTGTTTCTTCTGTCTGTGACCTTTGAATGTTTTCAGTTCAGCAAATCTGTGCACTTAGTGCTGTTATTTCGGCTAAGAGTTTACATTGATCTTACACAAGCTATGGCTTAATTACACTAATATGTTAGGAACCAGGTATTATACTGTGCCATACTTGAAACACTTACTATTTATATTCCTATACCAGTTTGTTTTATAATAACTAGCATCACAGGACAGAGGTCAGTAGATCCTGTGCTCATACATGGTACAGTACTCAGCAGGGGTTTCATTCTATGCTTCCTTTTGATCAACTTGTTTGAATGGATAATTCTTTAATGAATCAAGGCATGCAGATGATAACACCAGGAGACAAAGAATGTTCTTCAGGCACTGGAAAAGTAAAATGTGTTTAAAGCCTTCCAGATTCTATTTGCAGGAAAACCCTGATCTGAAAATGAGAGAGAATACCTTGCCAGTAGCTAAATAAACTGAGAATTGGAGTTTTCACAAAATGAAAGTGGTGATTCTTGATGTAGATTACTTGCTTATTTTATAAAAGGGCATATTTGGAGAGACTAAAGCTTTGGGGGTCTCTCAGTTGTGTGTGCATCTAACTATGGTAGATTATTATGGGTCTAGTTCTCACTTATAATACAGGACCTTTGCATCTCTCTGGCACTGTGAAAAAGTCTTATAATGAAAATAAATAAGTTTAGTTTACGTATGCTTAAATGCCCTTTATACTAAGAAACAAGCTATATTTATTCATCTCTCCAAGGACACAGTAGTCTAGCTAATATCCATTTCATATACATAAAAAGACACTATAAGGGATATGTTACACCATTATGGGGTGCATTTTTGGAAAAAAAGTGCTCTTCTGCTTGCATAACCAATTTATAGGCACAGACTACATACTCACCTTTTCATATACCCCCCCAACAAACAAACAAAAAAACCCAAAACAAAACTGCAGCTGCAGATATTCACATTCTAAACAGCAGATTCAAATATCTGAAATTAGAGGGTTCAGCTACTGAGATTTATACTTCTATCTCTTTTTCGTTGCATAAAAATAAGCAAACTTTGTAGGCAAAAACAGAGACAAATTGAAAATCAACAGAGATAAATTTATTGTGCTAGTAAGAAAAAAACAGAAGGATATATAAGAATGAGGCATAACTAGCTAGAGAGTATCACTACCAAGGAAAATGTGGGGGCTATGCTGCATGAAAAACTGAATGCGAGTCAACGATGTGATGATGTAAAAATAATAAGTAAATGCAGTTTTGATGGGTATAAACAGAAGTATTACATACAAGACAATGAGTTAATAGCACTTATATGCAAATAATGAGGTTATAATTGTGGTACGGCTAGATTATTGTGTCCAGTGCAGGTACTGTTGTTTTAGAAGGATGAAGAGAAATGTTAGGGTAGCATTTCCCAAACCTTTTGTGTTTACTCAAACTTAAATCTTAATGGGAAAAAAACCTGTAAGAAGTTTAAGACAGTGGAATTAGCGCTTAGTTAAGCTGTGAGTTCCCTGCGTTGGAAGTTTTCAAAAGAAGAGGCTGGACAGACATAAACTGGGTCACAAACAGAATAAAAGCCAACCGTGTGCTCTTCTTGCAAAATAAACAAACTGCATATTGGGTTGTATTTATCACTTGTAAATCAAGGAAAATGATTCTTCCACTCCATTTAGCACTGGTGAGGCCTCACTAGCTTGGGAGGCTAGGGCAGAATACACCCATGGCCTGGCACCATCCCCCCAGCCAGAGTCTGCCTGGTATGGAGATAGACATCTTTTTGCCCCTCTTCTGCAGCTCAATCCACAGCCAGGCTGGATTGCCTCCATCCCACCCTTCCCCAGCTATTCCCCCTTCACATGGCACCAGCACCTCCCCACCCTGAAAGGGTCTGCCCAGCACAGGGGTGAGTAAGGGGGACTTTTAACTTTGCCATGGCTGGAGCCAGGTTGGTATCTTCCCAGCCCTGCCCCCTCCTCATCTATCTGTCTCTGACAGTGGGGGAAGGGCCAATAGGAAGGCACCTTTCTCCCCCTATGCTCCCAGTTGGGATCTGCCCAGTTGGGGGACAAAACCCAGTGGGGGAGGGTGGGTTGCCCCCGCCCCGCGTAGCTCAAAGATGGGCTGGAATGGTCCCAGCCCTGCCCCTTCCCCAACTGTCCACCTTCAAGAGGTGGGGGGAGCAGGGGAGAACATACCTTCTGGTTGGAGTTGGGGTAAAGCACCCACTGGGGGGCTTTTTGCACCCTGCAGATCTGAGCCAGGCTGGGATCACACCAGCCCTGCCACCTTCTCAGCTGTCCACTCAGAGGCAGATGACCCCGATCAGTGGAAGGCATGGGGAACAGTAGCTTGAGTTCTCCTAGTCCCGGGAAGTCTTAAGCAGTGAGGAAATGCCTTGCACAGACTGGGTCTAGAGAAGGGTCAGGAGAAGCATACACCTGTTCAGGCTGGCACTTGAAAAGAGAGATTTTCCTAGTGGAAAGCACTCTAAGAAACCCCATCAGTGTCTGTCCACTCTTTTTTGCTGAGGGAGAAAGGCATTTCTCCTGATGCAAATATAACACGTATCCATGGGCAGTGTTTGTGCACAAGTAAGGTTTCCAGGACTGAGTATGTAGTTTTATATATGAACACTTCAGAGCTAGGAATGCTGTGGTTAATTTGTTTCCATTATTGGTTTCTTTCATACATAGGCCTAAATATATTGTAGTTCACAGAATAATATATATCATTATCATATATTATATTATTATATATTATAATTATGTATGTCTTATTCTTTGTCATACAGTTACTACTTTAAGTTTTGCCCCCAAAAGGAGTCACCATAGATCTCTGTAAGCAATGTTTTTATCTTCTGCTCCTTCTAGCTCTACTAAACCAAAACTTTTTAGGCAGGTGTATTATTATTTTACAGGGTTGCTTTACTCTGAAAACCAGGTCTGTTAAACTTGACTTGCAAAAAGTTTGTAAAATAGACTTGCTCAAGATGTCAATAATGTATAGATTTAAAATTCCTTAACCATATTTTTGCATTTTTAAAACGTATTAGTGGGTGAGGGTTTGTTTGTTCTTTTGGGGGTTTTTTCGGGGGTGGGGGTTGTAAAGGGATATTGCAAATTGACCTTTCTTGAATTCAGAACACCAATAATAGCAATTGTCAATGTATTTCTATTTTACATTGGAGCTTACAGCATATAATTCATATACTTTTTATATTCATACTAGTTATGTTTAGATCAAATGTTCATGGCAAATCCATAAGAGAGTCAGAAACATAGTCAATAGAAAGCTTCTTTTGAATGTAATGACTGTTTGAATAAAATATAAATATGTTTTATTTTGTGGTATTGGAAAACATACTGTAAGTGCATAACAAATAGACTTGGCAGAATTCAATGCTTATTTTTTATCATTTTAATGGATAATATCAATTTATATTTAGGCATTTATCTAATTTTTTTTTCAATTAAATTTTTTAGGATTGTACAAATTAGGGGCATGGAGTAGACAGTTAATTAATGACAAATGTAACTGCTACTGGACAGGTGAGTGGTAGATCTGCCATGATTCCTGGCTCTGCTTTCCTGTAGCTCCCTCCGCCACTTTGTCACTTCCTCTTCCTTTGTTCCCAGTCCCCTGGGTTTTCTGGGAGTTGCAGTCCAAACTACAATCAGCACAGTTCTGTAGGCGTGCTCCTCTAGGTGTCACATGCTCCATCAGACATCATTTTTCTTATGGCCCCTTTTTATAAACTTATTTGATTAATGGTGGAAATATTTTTTCATCAGTCTGTAAGAGTGAGGTGAAATCAATGTTTATCAATGTTTACCGATAAAAATTGAATCCTGACCAGCCTAAACATAAAAGTTGCATCATCAGTCTTGTTTTATGGATAACCAAAAAAAAAAAAAAGGAAAAACATAATTTTTTGACGGCAGACATTCAACAAGTTATAGGCTCATTCACAATGAGAGAAATGACTAATATGACACTTAGACACTCTCTTAATCAGCTGTGAAATCCTACTCCAATTGAAATCAATTGCAAATCTCTGTTTGACTTTAATGAGGCAGAAATTCTCCCTAGGTCACTTGGATTTTTGAAGAAAGCCATTTATCAATATTAGGAGAGTTTTGCTTTCTGTTCTGAATTGAAAAAAGATCCCTTTGAAATATCCTTTTCAAGTAAATAATATTTGTTAAATAGCAAGAGCATATGTAGGCACTTCAAGCAAAGTAAACCCACTGTGCACCATCAGAATCCTTTTCTGAACTCAACCCATGAAGAATAGGGGTTTATTGGAAGAGGGAAAGTGGTTTTAATATTTGTTGTGTGAGCAAGAGCAGGTTTACAACTTGCCTATTTAAATTGCCCCAAATAATCAAATAATAAGAGTGCTAGATGACTTCTGAATGAATAGGAGCCCAAATATAGGAGCTTTATACATTTCCTTGAATGAAAGCAGTACTGCTACATTTGCTAGTGCTTAAGGAACTATAACCCCACTGACTGTTTTGTATCTTGGGCAAATGCTTCTCTTTTTAATTCTGAAAAAATCCCATTTGAAAAAACAAATTGCTAATGAGACAAATAATGGCATGTGCTTATGTGATCTCTTAAAAGAAGTAATTTTGAGAGAGAAAATCCCATTGCTGAAAATGCTGGCTATTGTGCCTGACTCCCAGGAGACAAGAGATCTTTTCTTTGGCCCTGTATTTTCTATAACATCTCTCACTATTGGCTTCTTAATGATTTAAACTAGAAAAAAAAAGCAGTGATGTTTCTGAAGGCACATAATGAGCCCTCTAGAATTACATTTAGAAGATTTATGAACAGAAAGAAGAGCCAGACTGCTGCAGATTTTTAAAATGTGGTCCCTTCTCATAAATTTTGCTTACACTCGCATTTTTTTAATCTATAAAGGGAGATAATATGCCCTCTATTGTTAGTCTCACTGAAAAAATATTTTAAATAATAATTTTCATAAAATGAATAATTAATTTGTGTCTCTCATTTTCCCCAATGCTACAATGATATAGTTAGCATGATCCATTGGTTAATACTTTGCTCTACCAGCTAATTATTGCCCTATTTTATATAGGTTTTAAACTGTCATTCTTGCAACTAGTCCATTGAAATAAAAAGAGTGGGAACAGTATTTACATTTCAGTTTTAAAATGTAGAGGAGCTTTCATGCAAGAAGTGAAGATCACTTGTTAGAATTAAAGATTTATTATGAAATATCTAGAGATAAATCATCTTACAACCCTAATAGACAGTATTCACAAATTCAGCACAATGCAGGCCTTTTAGAATGTGGAACGGTTTGTGCAAGGAGCAACAACAGAACTGGGAAAGGTGAAACTTAAGTGATATGACACATTTTGCATAAGTAGCAGAACATCAGTAATCATCCTGAATGTACTCAGCTAAATGAATCTGCAGCACAGCAAATGATTTTTGCAAGGTAAGAAGTGATTACTGTGTGTCCATGATGTTAGGCAGTCTAGGTTTTACCTATTCTATTTGGAGTTGGATCTACTGTGAATTTCCCTTGGTATTCAATACACGCTTATTTTCCATGGGTACGTGCAAACGTTACACTTAGATTGACCTCATGAGCGTAAGGTCCATCTAAGTGCCAATTTGTCCAAGCTGTACAGATAGGGCAAAAAATGGCTGGCCCAACCTAAATTAGTCCACCTGAGGTGATTAACTAAGTTAGATCAGGAATAAGTTAAACTGATGTAATGAACATCTGCACATGTTTGGAGTGCAGCCCTAGTGCTGGGAAAGCCCACTCATTCAACCAAGCTCCAGGGCTATGCTTTTCCTACCCCATCCACCCTGAGTGTTTTTGGCCCACACCCTCAGATGAACCATCCAGTCCCTGCTTCACTTCTACCATCCCTCCTGCCTGGGTGAACTGCTGGTTTTCTCAATCCTGCCAACCCCTTCCTCCCCACCCATGAACTCACTAACTCCGCCCCTGGTACCACCCTCCCCAGCTTGCTTAGGCCTCATTCCCAGCATGGATCCAATCTACAATCACATAGTTAATTTAAGCAGCATGACCATGATCACAGATCAGGTCCCACAAATGTGTCACCTACCTATATGTGCTTTGTAGGGTAGTTTTACCTCCTCCTTACATGTCACTGGTCTCCTCTAATGATGATATTTTTGACTGTAGTCAATCAAACCATGTTGCATAATCACTCCAAATCTGACAACACTTAATACTTTCCTGCAAGAACAGCCTATAGTCACAAAAAATCTCCTCCCCCATTGTTTCAAGATGTTTTGCAATACGAACAAAGCAAGAAAGTACATTTTTTTCAGAGTCCACATGAGCAACCCAATCAGTTTCTGGAAACTTTAACTCAGTGGGCACACCTCAAGGCTCTGTATGCGGCAAGCACCAATTCTTTTTTAACTTGTTCATCAATGATGTGCCTGAATTTATATCTGTAAAGTAACCTGATGATAACTTCTGGGATATTTAATTTTCAGTCTGATTTTACTTTGAAAATACCACCGATTACAGCAGACTCTTTCTGCAGCAGGTGCTTGCAGCAGAACACTTTAAAATAATGCTTCTGTGACACCTGTGTTACCTCTGTGACTTCAACTTAATGTCTCCCTCTGTGCCTATCTTGGCATTGGTCTCAAAATGTACCAAAACCATTTGATAAAATGGGTTGCCAAAAGCAAGACCGATGACACTCTATTTGGCAACTCTGATGGATCTGCCTAAGGGTTTTACACTCTTTGGATATCTGCCCTCACTCCTGTGTTGCAGGCTAGGTCTGCTCATCCCACATTAGGATGGTTAATGTGTAGCTCCAGGCCATAATGCATATTATATCAGGGAATCACATCTCTGCCTTGATGGCCAGTACTGAATGACTTGATTCAGCTGCTGATCCAACATGTAAATGTTCCAATTAAAATGACAGGAAAATTATCTGACCTCCTGATCTATTAGAATCTCTGTAACCCTCCCTCCACTAGCTTAAAATACCAACGTCTCCTATGATCACTTTTGCTATGATGTAACTTCTCAGTGTTGGTTTGCTGACAGAGAGCATAGGTCCTGCTGGCAGCGACTAACCACTTCTGTTAGAAGCCCTACTCAACAATCAGGATTTTGATCTACCAGATTGCCTGTGGTCACCCCTGCACTGTTTCCATGCTCTTCAAGGCCAGTGCATTGCCAACAGACACAGGTAGGGTTTTGGGACAATTAAAACTGCAGATGAAGCCACGTGTAGATTATGATCCACACCATAGACTATTGTCCAGTAACCAGATTAGATGAGGGCCTAAGCATGCTAAAATCTGTCACCAAGAAAATGATGGCTTGGTTAGGCCAGATGTCTGTATGCTAATGGTAATAACCTCTTCACCTACTCCCAGGGCTGTAGGATATCTTCTGAGGGCTATGAGAAAATTGTTGGCATTCTTGCTGCAATATGACAAAAATGATATAAAATTATGAGTCTAAATATAATTGCTACTGCTCCCAGCCCTGAATTGTTAGCCCATTACTTCTATGGACCAAGGGTTGGGCCCATGATCAGAGAGAGAGAGGGTCTGGTATGTAGACTGAAAAAGAAGTGAGAGCACTGACAATAAAAGGAACAAAAATGATATTACACAGCTGTTCCTGGCTTTCCCTCTTCTTACCTTGGAAAGTTGACTTTAACAAGCCTTTCTTTGCTTTGTGCATAATTTGTGGAAACCATTTTCCTTGGTTTGTTTTATACTTGTATTTGACTCAAAACATTGCCGGTCATTTTAATATACATAAATATCTGTATCAACATGCCTCTCCCATTTTTCCATAATCACAGCTGCTTTAAAATGTCTGGAACGGTAACTGGGATGTTGGGAAAAGTCAAACTGTAACTCCACCACTTCTGACTATTATTACTAAAAATCTAAATGGAAAATCTTAAGGAACCATTAAACAGAAGGCTACTTTGCAAGGTAAATACAAGTTAATTTGGTTATAGAGATTTTAATTTATATTAGTCTCTAAAAGAAAGGCAGTAAAATATTTTTCTGACAAAAGTGAGGAGGAGGGAAGTATAAGCTTCCGGGACACTTGTTCCTTTTAAAATGATCTTTGGATCAAACCTTATGTTTGTTTGTTTGTTAAGGATTGTTTTCTGCATTTCAGCAATTTCTCCAAGACTTCCACTAACATTGTGCAATTCATTTTCCATTTTGTTCAGTCAAACTGACTACAAAAGAGTTGTTTTATTTGGGTTTAGTTTGTGCCTTGGTTATAAATAAAAAACAGAACCTGTTAGCGTAGGAGATGGCAGCTTACAAATCAGTGGTACCAGATGGACTTTTCAGCATCTCCTTGCAGCTTTATAATTGTACTGTGTCAAGAGCCACCTAAATTTAGACCAATTAAATACAATATTTCTACATAATTATGTGATGAAGATTTCTAATGAAAAATTATCTTCCGTTTTCTATGGCTGGCTATAATTCCTCAGTTAAGAGGGCAATTTGTTCTCAATACTAATTGATAATGATAGATTATTAAAATTGGATTGTATATCACTTTTTTCTTTATTCTGTTTCATTTTACATAAGGTTGGAACATTTCTAAGATTTGGAACACACTCAAAGTGGATGCCAAGAATATAAAACGATGGTGTATAAAACTGCAGACCTTTTCCCTTGCTGATTGATAACTACTGATAAAATTACAGCAGTGCCATAAACATTTTAGTGCATGTCATAAAGTTTTTCAGTGTTTAGCATTAGCTGCATGGCATAACTAGTTTAAAACTGTAGTTTCAAAAACAGTCATCAGAAATTAACTTTAATAATAAGTTCTGAGTGTTTTAAAGTTAAAACTCTAATGAAAGCTACAGCGTATCCATTTATATTCTTTAAGAACTTCTTAAGATATTCTGTGACTTGACCTTTATTTTATGACAAGATATTTGAAAGGTTGATTTGTATGAGTCATATCCATAATTATTAAGCTGTATGGAAAAAAAGAAAGATAATGGATTTTCAGAGCTATTTTGTTTGGTTTTTTTTTTAAATAAAGAATTAAAAATACTTTAAGAACCTTTATACTTTAGTATCTAAAATGTTTCTTACAAGGTCAGCGACTCCATCAATCACTGCCTTAAAATGAGTTTAAAAAGAAACCCAGTATAAATGCTTCTTTGCAGACTGTACAATACACATGAGCTTCATGCAGAAACTCACGATGTACAGATATATAGGTACGAACCCATTATGTGCAACACAAGATACAATTTTGGGAGGCATACTTAGATATGTAAATTTAGAAACTTTAATACCATTTTTATATGTTGATGTCAATGGGAATGTTGAATGCTTATGCAAGATATGGTTGCATTACAGAATCCTATGGTGGGAAGGGACATCAAAGGTCATGTAGCCAAATGCTCTGCATGAAGGCAGGATTAGCTATTCCTAAATCAAACCATTCTTATCCTAATCCTAAAGTGTGTATCTTTATTCAGTACTCTGAATCCATTAAAGCATTCTCAGTATCCCCTGGATGGAAAAGTTCTTTTAAGGAAACACTGTCCTCTTCTGTCTTCTCTTGAGAATTCAGCTTTGGGTTTTCAAAGGAGTTTAAAGAAATTAGATTCCCATGTCCATTAAAATCTTGTGGGTTTTATACTCATTTTAACTAAACTATACACTATTTTTCCTGCAAAAACAACTCTTAGTACCAATGAGAATCTTATTTAGTAGGATATTTGCCCTGGCTTACTTAGTTTCTGCAACTTCTAGCTTAATTTTTATAATGCAAGTAATACTTCTTTACTCAGGCCGAATATCTCAGTAAAGTTAGTGCAACTGGTTAAGTAAGCAAGGCCTACTTAGGCACAAGTTTTGCCTGACACACTGCAAGTCTGTAGAATTTTAGTCCTTGTATTTGGAGGAACATGGAGTCTATTGCCTTTCATAGATGTGCCTATGTTAATTAGGCTTTGCACATTAAGACTGTTCTAGATTTGAACATTAAAAAGGAAGCCAAGGCAGAGCTAAGTAGCTACTGTGTACTCTTTACATTATTTCTGGGATGGGTTGCCATTTGTATGTTACTTTGGGACATGTATAGGCAGCATTACATTTGATTGAGTTAACTAGGGTTCGGTCAATCTAAACGGAGCATTCAGAGAAGTTTATATTGCCAAAATATGACAGGCCTAATCCAAGTTAATACACCTAAGGAGGTGAACTAACTTATAGGGAATGGGTTATACCCACCCATATGAACTGGGAGCACAGCTGTATGGCTGGGGCTGTGCTCTTCCTACCCACAACCCAATCCTGACTCTACTATTTTTAGCCTCCCAACCTTTGTCCAGCTAGGTCTAAAAACCTCCAAGGATGGAGCTTCCACCATCTCTCTAGGTAACCTGTTCCAGTGCTTTACTAGCCTCCTCATGAGACAATTCTTCCTAATATCTAATCTAAACTTCCCTTGCTGCAGCTTGAGACCATTGCTCCTTGGTCTGTCATCTGTCACCACTGAGAATAGTCCAACTCCAGCCTCTTTTGAACACCCCTTCAGGTAGTTGAAGGCTGGTATTAAATCTCCTCTGTCTTCTCTTCTCTAGACTAAATAAGCCCAATTCCTTCAGCCTCTCCTCAGAAGTCATGTGCCCCAACCCCCTCACCGTTTTGGTTGCCCTCCGCTGAACTCTCTTCAATTTGTCCACATCCTTTCTGTAGTGGGGCGGGGACAGGGAGGATGGGAGGTTGCAAAACTGAACACAGTACTCCAGGTGTGGCCTCACCAGTACTGAATAGAGGGGAATAATCAATTCTCTTGACCTGCTGGCAACACTCGTACCAATGCAGCCCAGTATGCCATTAGCCTTCTTTAAAACAAGGGCATACTGCTGGCTCGTATTCAGCGTGTTGTCCATTGTAAACCCCAGGTCCTTTTCTGCAGAGCTTCTTTCCAGGCAGTCAGCCCCAGCCTGTTCTTGTGCATGGGATTGTTCCATCCTAAGTGCAGGACTTTGCACTTGTCCTTGTTGAACCTAATGAGATTTCTTTTGGCCCAATCCTCCATTTTGTCTAGATCACTGAATCCTAACCCTACGCTCCAGCATATATACTATGCCCCACAGCTTGGTGTCATCTGCAGACTTGCTAAGGATGAACTCTATACCATCTTCCAGGTGGTTGATGAAGACATTGAACAGAATTGGCCCCAGGACCAACCCCTGGGGCACTTAACTTGATACTGGCTGCCAACCAGGTATTGAGCTATTGGTTACTACTCTCCAGCCAGGTTTCTATCTACCTTATAGTCCATTCATCCAGTTCATACTTCCTTAGCTTGCCTGCAACAATGTTGTGGGAGACTGAATCAAAAGCCTTGCTAAAATTGAGGTATATCACATCCACAGGTCTCCCCACAACCATAGAACCAGTTATCTCATCATAGAAGGCAATTAGGTTGGTCAGGCATGACTTGCCGTTGGTGAATCCATACTGACTGTTCCTAATCACCTTTGTCTTCTCCTCCAAGTTCTTAGAAATGCATTCCTTTAAGATCTGCTTCAAGATTTTTCCAAAGGCTAAGGTGAGGCTGATTGATCTGATCTCCTTTTATCCATTTCTTAAATATGGGCACTGTTTGCCTTTTTCCAGCCACTTCCCCACTTACCTCAGGATTTTTGTTATCTTCTCCTTGTTCATTCCTTTGGGTAAGAAATCCAAAAGACAGTCTAAGACCACGTCCTTTACAGTCTGAAATTCAGCTTTCCCCTTGAGGTCTACCTATCTATAACATGTAAAGTATGAGGGGCAGTGAAGAAGCCCTAATACATCAATACAATGGAATAGATAATCCAGACCATAAATATCCTCCAACACATTCCATGTACCTTTGGGGTAAATGTCCTGAAGTCAATGAAAAACAGTGCCATAGATAAGGCCCATATTTTTGTAACCATCCATCAATACCATTTGTTTGGATGAAATTTATTTCATTTGCTATAAAAGGGCAATGAGTGAGATGGAAGAAAGCTTATGTCATTGAGATATGAATTTCTAAGTCCAAGAAAGTATTGGTTTATAACATGGAATATTCTCCCAACTAATTAAGTGCATTGGATATGTTAAGCCACATTGTTCAGAGTAGCAAAATATGCTTATGCAAAAAGCTGAAATTATGCTAATCTTTCATTTAGAGTGTATAAAATTATGTAGTAGTTGAGAAACATTGCATCCTCAGCAGGGATTTTTGGTAACTTGGTGGCCAAAAGCTATCTTAATGAGACAGCTGTATTGAAAATATAGTAAAAATAACAAGGGAAATAAATGATTAAACAAAAAGAAATTCAGATGAAAGCATAATAGGGCTTGTACACATTAAATCCCTAAGACAGTGTTAAATTGTGAACTTAAAGGCATAGAATCAAGAGAATTATTATTTGTCACAGAGCCTTCTTTTGTGACTATGAGTTACAGTAAATGTTTTTGTGCATTAGGAAACCTAGAACACTGGATGAGCTAAATTAGTTGTCACGTTAATTGTATTATCTTGGCATGGTGGGGCCATTCAGTGGGGGAAGTGATAGACTTTTTCATTAGGCTTTCATTCTAGGTCCATGTCTGCTTACAAAAAATGATGAATTCAGAGTTCTGGGATATTTCTAAAATTGTTTGCGTAACCATTTTCAGCTTAATGGGTTTCATTCCATTGCTTCAAACTTTCTCAGATTTTCACAATTTGGGCTGAAGCAGCTAGCTTTGTTAGCCTGAAGTCAAGCAAATTATAGGGCAGTTCTTTTTTCTGTTTCTCTATTCATAGCATCTGATTAAGTAGCTTGTTGCCTATGAAATCTTTAGCCTCTGAATTGGTCTCTAAGGGTATTTTTACACATGCTCTGGGGGTATTTTTATGTGTGCTCCATTACCCACTCTAATTAAAGTGCCACAGTG